GGGAGAGAGACACCTTTAAAGAACGATTTTAGATTCCATTAGCAAATAACGGCATTCCCTAAATGTGTTCCATATGATCAAGATGCAACAAAAAGTGTTTATTCAAAGCTTGGCATTTTGGGAAATTCATATCATTCATAATGATAATATGGTTCATTGTTTTTATGACATAATTCATTTATTAAAAAGCGTCAGAAATAATCTAATTAAATATGATACAGAGATTATGGAAATAGTGTACAATACAGCAATACAACTTCGCCTTCCTCAAGAGTTAACTGACAAGCAAATCTGTCAAAGTTTTGATAACGTCTTTCTTCTGTTCTTCATAACCTTCTGTCACTTATCCTGACCGTTAACTTATTTTAACACTTTTCGCCACAATACTTTGTCATAATGTTATATGACCTTTGTCTAGCACATTTATTTGTTTTAGCCATTAACCATTCTGTGAACCCATAAATATTACTTTATGAACCAATATACTTCCTTACTCGGAGACTTCGCCCCCAAGTATCACCCTATCGCTGTATTCTGAATATGCCGCTAATGACCTTAGATGTTGACATAGCAGAAAATTTTTCAATAAATAAATCTCTGGAATGATGTGCAAAGCAATTATAATTTTAAATGTATGAACATAAATAGTTAAAAACAGGTTTGTCATGAAAACCTATTTAGTGTAAACAGAAATGCTGGGAGTAACAGTAACAATCCAACAGCACCAAAATTTAGAAAGTTGTTAAAACTGCAATAATGAATAATTCATTAGATAATAACTGCATTGATGATTCCACATATATATTAGCATTGCTGAGAAAGATAAAAACAGTTGACCTGAACTTAAAACCCCCTGCAAATACTCATAACATACGTAATGATAAAAATTATTTTTTTTGGATATTATAGTGCCAGTAGAAGAGAATGCCAATGATTTAAGCAATTTCTTTGCTTCATATAATCCTTAAGCAATAATTCAGGAATAAATTATCCAGACGATAATGATGGTAGCAACCACTCTATGGACATCGTTTTATAAAAATATAGAATTCTTTTACATATATTGCTGGATATGTCTCATATGATGATAATGGTTAATGGTTAAAGGCAAAATAAATGTGCTAGACATCTAAGGTCATGAAGCACTATAGTAAATGGTAGTGAAGGGTGGTTGAATTAGTAATTAGTTGTCAAAGCTGGGCAAAGGAATTGACGAGTGAATGAGTTAAGGTCGGTAAGGTAATGTAAAGGGATTAGATTAAGTGAAGGATGTATGTGTGTTTGAGGAAGGAAAACAGGTTGTCAAAGCAGAAAGTGTGAGATTCTGTAAGGATATCTGATAGGTTGGGAGGTCCGTGAAGGGAGGATAGGTGGGGGAAAGCAGAGGTACGGGCTGCTTCAAAACATGAGCATGACAATAGAATGTGTGGAACTGAGAGAGGGACATTACATAGGGAACATAGGGGTAGATCAGAGTGTGACATCAGATAGGAGTGTGTTAGACGGGTGTAGCCAATGCGTAAGCGGGCGAGAGCCGTCTTTCAACGTCTGTTCCCATGAAATTGAGCTGACCAGGAGAGTGATAGTTTTACAGTATGTAATTTATTAGTGCGGAGACTTGACCAAAAGATTGCCATCGATTATGCAAGAAGGTCTTAGAGTGTGGGTAATGATCCGTGGCTGGGATACGTGAGAAACGTGGTTGGTATGATGTGGACATAGCTGCGTGGCGTGCTAGAGTATCTGCCTGTTCATTGCCGGGGATTCCAACATGGCTGGGCACCCAGCAGCATTTGATTGTTTTCTGGCGTGTGGACAGGTAGAACCACTTCTGGATCTTGCAAACAAGGGGGTTGGTCGAGTGTATTGACTTTATGAGAGTGAGTTGCAGGAGTCAGTAAAAATTGTGAAAGAGGAAGAGTATGTGTTTTAAGGCAAAAAGGAGTGCATGAAGTTCTGTAGTAAGAACATTGGATTCAGGAGGGAGGGGGTATTTGAAAGTACGAGTTGGAAAGGTTACTGTAAAACCAGTGTAAGGTTTCTGTGAGGCAGAGGTGCCCCGATAGGCGGCTTAAGGGCCAGAACTGGGCCCCGTTCGGTGCCTCCAAAGTGTGCTGTTTCCCCCTACAGATTTTAGTTGGGTACCGGTGTGAGGGCTTTGTGTTGAGTAGTAAAGTAAGAGCACACATACATGACGACAGTGATAATATTTATGATTCAATGACAATAATAGTGAGTTTGAGACATAAGCTCGATGGTAATATATAAAAAAATAATGCAAAAATATTTAAATTCATTCAGATCAAGTCCATTAATATGAAATACGGTCACAACTAATTTTTTATGGAAACAATAATAGGCGTCCCAGCTCCTAACTGTGGCAAGTAAAAGGATTAAAACGAAGACTCAGTTACCACCTTTGTAATGTCTTAACCAGCTGGGATTCTCCAGAAACCTCGGGAAAAGGGCAGAGACCAGAAGGTTCGGCGGACACTACTTCGTAAAGCCCCGCGGGCGGGATCTTCAAACATAGAGTATACATTTTTGAATTTGGTTTCACTCGAGATAAAGAATATGTTTGGTAAAACTATATGCTTAAACAAAAGAAAATGAATTATAAAAGAAACCTCAGTAAGAAAATGAAAGCAGCTAATGACATAAAATAATAAATGCGGCTTAAACAGTATACAACAAAATAAAAAGGTGCACGCACCAAACTCGACCTTTAATAAAAAAAAAGGCTAAAGTAAATAAAAAACATTTCAGGTGATGTAGAAATACAGTAACAAAATTATGTATATAATGACAAACATCAAAATATGGGAGGTGACCAGCTGCATCAATAAAATCAATGATAAAAGCAGCAGCAATAAAAGCTAAAAGAACGCCTAACAAAATCCCACGTGTAAACAGAGTTGCCAGCTAGTAATTTTAACATGGAGAAAAACATTCAACAGAAATAGTTCCATTCTAATTTGGAGTTATGCAGCTGATAACCTACATAAATCAATAAAAATAAGTGACATAAAACAAAAAAGAAATACTAGGACACCATATTTAAGAGATACTTATATTCATAAACATAACATTCAAATTTAAATATGTCATCCCTCGAGTGTACATCTCCGAGCGGTTCTATTCGTGCATGTGTGCATGAGGGTCATATGGCAGTGGTCCTGTAGGAAACAGGCAAGGGAGGGCGATAACTGCAATGGTGGGAAGGATTTAGGAACCTTGAACAAGGAGTATTAGGAAGACTTCAAGTATGAGAATTAGGGGGATTGGATACGGTTGCAGGTTGGAGAAGAGTTTCTAACCTCACACCAGCACCGGAGGTGGATTTGGAGCCATCAGTGTAAACATGAATGAGTGGAGACATGGTCAAGGAAATGGGTGAGAAGGACAGCAGGAGCAGTATTTGATTTTGGTGGGTCAGGGAAAACAGAGGAGCAAATACGGGGGTAAGGTATAAGTCATGGAAGGACAGATTGGACAGAGAACAGGAGAGGTCGGAGATGGGGAAAGGGGAATGGGAGAGGAAGGTATCAATGCGAGTTTAGAAAGGAGTAGGTAAACGAAGAAGCAAAGGTAGGAAGTAGAAATCGTGGGATAGTTAGTTTAGTACAGGCTCTCAACTGGAGAGGAGCGGATTGCACCTACGGCAAAGCGAAGACCACAGTGATGGATTGTATCAAAATGGGCAAGGAGAGAAGTTGAGGCAGTGGAGTAGATATGGCATCCATAATCGAGAGGGGAGAGGATCAAGGTACCATGAAGATGGAGGGTTTTTTCGATCTGAGCCCCAGGGTATAATATGGGATTGAGTTTGTAAGATTCGGAGACGGCGGCGAGCTTTTTCTATAATGTAAAGGATATTGTCTCATCAGGACAGTTTGAAGTCAAAAATAACGCCTAGGAATTTGCCAGAGGAACGGTATTGGGAGTGGAGTGCCATATAAGAAGAGTGGAGGTTGGGGACCTACACGTGTGCGAGAGAAAAGGATGGAGAAAGATTTGGAGGTAGAAAAGAGGAAGCCATAGTTTGTAGCCAAGGAAGATACTGATGATATTGCAGACAGAAGGAATTGGTGTAGATTTGGCATGTATGTGCCAGAGGCATAGATGGTTAAGACTGGGCTCCTGGTGGAAGAGCTGAGACAATGTCAGCAAGAAGGAATAAAGAGGTACTGAGCACATTGCCTTGTGGGACGCCTTCGATTCATGTTATAAAATCTTTGATGACAATATAATTGAAGATATTTACATATTTACAGTGATTGACACAATTAATGTGAGAAAGGATTTCAAAAGTATGTTTCTGATCAAGAAAATACGCAAACAAATTTAATACAGAAAATAAAGGAACATGATAACACTAATAAATATCATGCACTTTTTTTTTCTATTCTTTGTATATATATATCATGATTTTACTGAAGATGACTATTATGACTGGTGCAAGCTTATGTTTTGTTTCATTACCTCATATTATTTGGTAAATAGATTTATATTTTGCTCTGTATAGTTGAGAATTTGTTTATTTATTTAACATTATTAGCAGCGTATTCAAAATATAGCGACAGGGTGGGGGCTTGGGGGCTTTATAAGGAAGTTTTTGGGTTCAAAAAATTGTCAATGGTTAAAACAAATGTGCCAAACATCAAAGGTCATATAGCATTATAAAGCATAGTGGCAAAAAGCGTAAAATGAGTTAACTGTTAGGAGAGGAAGAGAGGAGAAGGGATAAAGGAGAGAATGAAAAAGAGAGAAGAAAAGACCAAGTAAAATTAGTTGAGGCGAGGGCTGAGGACCAAGGAAGGGCTCAGTCTCCTATATAAAGGATTGGGGGTATAGTTGAGCATTTCTTTTTTTGCATTGGACTGGAGCTAGTGGCTCCTTTCTAACGAGTTTATAAACCATTCACTATTAAGTTTTACAAAAAAATCTTAGCTCTCTTCACTTTTTTAATTAATGAGAATAAAATCAAACTTCATTTTTCTATTTTATTTGGGCTCTTACAAAATGAGGAAACACAGAAGTGCTTCCAAAACACACATTCAATATAAAAGATAGTGATTTTACAATAGTTTAGATATACATGATTACTTGACTTCAAATCCTAAAGCAAGTATAATTTTAAGAATATGGAACAAATTGAAATAAATATTACCAGAATATTTAAGTTTTTATACAGAAAAAAACTGAATAAATATAGCCAATAAAACTTCCAGAGGAGAAAAACGTCACATGTTCACATCCTCACCAATAACTATTCTGAAAAAAGTTAACCATAATAAAATTACTCAATTGCCCAGACCATTCATATTATTCAATTGCCTATACTTGAATCTACCTTCTTCCACATCTTGATCCATGATATGCCTGGTACATGTATTATTCACAGCGGTTATTTACTTAAAATTTGTTTACATACAAATGGCTAGAGATGAAGTGTCACCAATCCTTTATGATCCTAGCATTTAACCAATTCCTTGATGATTGATGACTGATGACTGATGTTGGATGATGGAGGTAGTGGTGGGGTGGTGGTGATGGCGGTGGTGATGGCGGTGGTGATGGCGGTGGTGATGGCGGTAGTGGTGGGGTGGTGGTGATGGTGGTATGGGGTAGACAAATGCAAGTGACACAGGTTTAATAATTAATTCCTTGGTGACAAAGCACTTCTGGAGTCATGATTTTAAACAAATTTAATAACAAAACCACAGTGGGCTGTGCAAGTATACAAGCATTCCTGGCATCAAAAGTTAAAAAGGTCAGAATCATCATTAATCAATTTAGCACACATTTTAGTGTACCTTACTTAAAGAACTTTACCTGCTGATATTATGGTACTTCATTAAATTCTACACAATATCACTAGTATTCACACACAAATAAGAACATTAGGAGGTAATGTCCAGAGCCAAGAAAAATTATTCTTTTGCCAAAATATGGTCTTCGGTGTCATTTGTTAAATTAAATCACAACTCGCAATCTGCCCCTAAAGAGTCACCTCCAAATAAATTCAAATTTAGGAAGAGCATTAGGAGCCTTAATCTTCCAAAACCAGGCCCTAGCTTTTCTCTGAAATCCCTTATGCTATGATGGCATGACATATATGCCATATCCACTGTGATTTTAGTTTATTGATTGTGTTTGCACATAAATATCTCAACATGTACTTAGTAACCAAAAAGCTACTACTAGTACTACCTG